TTTTATAAATCTATTCAGATTTTCGAATCCCCGAATCATTTTTTGTACTTTTGTATTTTTAGAAATCTGTCCATTTCATCTAGGCTGTCCAATTTGTTGATGTATAGTTACTCACAGTTTTCTAATATAATCATTTTTATTTCTGCAAAGTCAGGAGTAACATCCACTCTCATTTGATTTAGTAATTTGAGCCTTTTCTCTTCTCCCAACCCCTTAGGTCTATCTAGTTAGAAGTTTATCAGTTTCTTTTTCAATCTTTTCAAAGAACATAACATTGATTTGTTTTTCTCTAGTTTTGGTCTCTATTTTATCTCTGCTGTAGTCATTATTATTTCATTTATTTTACTAGCTTTGGGTTTAGTTTGCTCTTCATTCTCTAGTTACCTCAAAATGTACTTAGGTTACTGATTTGCAATCTTTTTTTACCATAAGCTTTCACAGCTACAAATTGCCTTCTGAATGTTGCTTTTGCTGTATCCCACAATTTTGGTGCATAATGTTTTCATTTTCACTCATCTCAAGATAATTTCTAAATTCTCTTGTGATTTCTTTTATGAACCATTGGTTGTGAAAGAGTATGTTTTTTAATTTCAACACATTTTAGTAATTTCTAGTTTTCTGTTATTATTCTCTAGATTCATTCTATTATGGTCCTAACAGATATTTTTCATGATTTCATTTTTACATATATTAAAATATATGGTCTATTCATAAGAATGCTCCATGTGCACTTGAGAATATGTATTTTGTTGTTCAGCAATGTATATTTCATGTGTCTATTAAGTGTACTTGTTTTATTGTAAGGTTCAAATTGTCTGTTCCAGGACAAGGAGGTAGCTCAGCAGGACAGTGCCTGTGGGCAACCTTGAGGACCCGAGTTTGATTCCCGGTACCAAAAAAATTGTCTGTTCCTTTGTTCATCTTCTATCTGGTCGTTCTACTATTGAAAGTGAATACTGAAGACTCCAACTATTAATGTAGAACTCTCTTCCTTCAAATCTTTCAGTTGTTGTTACATATAGAGAGATTATGTTGTTAGGTACATTTATGTTATATCTTCCTGATGGACTGCTGTATCTTTCTTATGGATTGAATCTTTTTTTTCTTTTTTTTTTTGCAGTACTGGGGATCAAACTCAGGACCTTGCACTTGCAAGGCAGCAAAGGCACCACTGAGCTAAATCCCTGGCCCATGATGGATTGAATTTTAACAACACATAATAACTTTCATTGTCGCTTATGAATTTTTTGAACTTAAAATCTATTTTCTTGATAAAATTGTCACTCCAGCTCTATTTTGATTTCTATTTGCATGGAATATATTTTTCCACCTACCTCTGGACTCTCAATCTCTATGTGGTTACCTTTATCAGACATTTTTTTATTCACATAGGTTTGGGTAACTGTCTAGTATTTTTTTTCTTCAACATCAAGTACTCACCTTAGCATTTCTTGTAGGGCAGTTCTATAATTAATAAACTGTCCTAGCTTTTTCTTATCTGAAGACTTCTTAATGTCAACTTCACTTTTGGACAGTTAGTTTGACAGATACAGAATTACTGTTAGACTTTTCTTTTGGCACTTTAAATATGCCAGCCCACTGTTTTCTGTCTTCTCTGATTTCTGATGAGAAATCAATTATAAATTTTATTCAGTAGTGCTTATTTTTGAGGAGTCATTCATCTGGTACTGCTTTCAAAATGCTCGTCACTGGATTTCAATAATCAAACTATAATGTGTGTTAGTACAGAACTCTGAAATTATCTAGCTTGAGTTTATTGAGCTTTTTGTATATAAAGATTTGTGTGTTTCAGCAAATTTGGGGAGTTTTGGACTTCACATCTTTAAGAATTTTTTTTCTGTCTCTTTATCTCTTCTCCTTCTGGGATTATTATAAGATAAATGTCGTTCAGTCACAAGTACTTCAGGTTGTCTCTGTCCAATTTTCTTTATTCTCTTCTAACGGCAAGTATCTTTATCTTCAAGTTTACTGATGCTTTTGTCTGTACACATCTACTGCTAAATCCCTCTAAGTTTTTATTTTAGTATTTGTAATTTTTGGCACCAGAATTTCTACTTGGTTCCTTTTGTATCTCTGCTAGTATTCTCTTTTTGTCAAATATCATTTTCCTGATTTCCTTTAGTTATTTGCCCGTGGCCTTCTTTAGCTCTTTGAGCATATTTAAGATATTTAAGATAACTGATTTAAAACATTATCTAATAAATCTAATGTCTAGGCTTCCTCAAAATAGGTTATATCAGTACAACCTCCCTTTCTGCGTGCCATATCTGTTTCTTTGCATGCTTCAGACATTCTTGTTGAAAAATCTGATATGAGAAAATTACAAAATAATGTGGTACCTTAGAAAATTAGATTTTCCCCTCCTTCCCAGAGTTTGCTGGTTTTGGTTATACAAAGTGTAGTTTGTATTCAGCAAGTATTTTTCTTTCTTCTCACAATGCCCAAGATAATTTCTTTTATTATTTACTAGCACATATTATTTATATAGAATAGATTTCCATATATGCATGCAACATATTTTGATCATATCTGGGGGAAAAAAGGTAAGATACTTGTCTTTCTGAGACTGGCTTACTTCACTTAACATGATCTCTAGTTCCATCCATTTTCCTACAAATAACAGTACATTCTTCTTTATGGCTAAATAATATGCCCATTCTCTATACACACATTATCTTTAACCATCTATCCATTGATGAGCACCTAGGTTGATCTATAACTTAGCAATTGTGAATAGTGGCACAATAAAAATGAGTATGCAGGTATCTCTGTCAAACGCTGATTCTCATTACTTCAAGAAAACACCACAGTAGTGTTGCTGGGTCATATGGTAGTTCTATTTTGATCTGGAGAATCTCTATACTGATTTCCACGGTGTTCATGCTAATTTACACTCCCATCAACAATGTATAAAGATTATGTTTTCCCTACATCCTGGGCAGCATTTATTATTTTTTGTATTCTGATAGCCATTCTGACTGAAATGAAATAGAATCTCAATGTTTTGATTTGTATTTCCATGATGGCTACAGAGGTTGAAGATTTTTTTCATATCATTCTTAGCCATTTGTAACTCTTTGAGAAGTTCTGTTCATCTGCCCATCTACTGAATGGATTACTTGTTCTTCTGGTGTTAAATTTTTTGCGTTCTTTATAGTACTCTGGATATTAATCCTGTCAGAAAAGTAGTTGACAGAAAATTTCTACCACTATATAGGCTGTCTTTTCATTGTTGTTTCCTTTGATACAATCCCATTTGCCAATTTTTGCTATTATTCCTGAACTACTGAAGTCCTATTTAGGAAGTCATTGTCTACACCTGTAACTTGAAGTGTTTACCCTATATTTTCATCTGGTAGTTTCAAAGTTTCAGGTCTTCCATTAAGTTCTTTGATCCATTTTTTTTAATATAGGATGGGTGAGAGACAGGGGTCTAGTTTCAATCTTCTACATATATTCCTATTTCTCAGAACAATTTGTTAAAGAATCAGTATTCTGAAAAAGATTTCCTTTAACGCCAAAAGCTTAAAAACAACTAAAACAAAACAAAACAAAACAAAACATTTTGCTTATTCTTTCTAGTTAGCTCTGTGTTAGGTCTACGTCATCGATGGCCTTGGCCTTAGTTACTGTGAATAGTGGCACAATAAAGATGGGTATGGGATATTGTTTTACTATTTCTATCAGAATACTATTTCTCATATAGCTGAAACCATGAAAATCTGAAGTAAACATCTAAATCACAAACTGTAAAGTATTATACATTCTAGAGAAGATTTACATTAGTTTCAAAGTTGTAAAATTTATGATGTTTAACTGACACACCAAGTCCTACTCTTTTTTTTTTTGGTACCAGGGACTGAACTTAGGATCTTGCACTTGTGAAGCAGGAAGAGGAACCACTGAGCTAAATCACCAGCCCTAAGTCCTACACTTTAAAGAACATTCTAAGTATGCTTTTATTCCTTTTCACAAATATTACAAGAAACATTCTCAGAAGTCTGTCTAAACTGGTACCTAGTGACGTATAAAGATTTAAATATGTAACACATTTAATCCAGTTCTTAATGCATAAACCTTTAAACGTTTCACTGTACAATATAATTCACTGAAAATTTCTATCAAAATAAGCAAAATCATGCTACATTCATGAAATGTATATTTCCTCATAAATGATTAATTTGCTTAAATATATTTTAAGAACTTCACAATACACTTTGCTCATGAATCATCCTGTAGAAAGCAAAAACAGACCAGGAAAATTATTAAAATAAAGGACTATAACTGGACAATTTGCCTTTGTGATGATATAAGATCCATCACAAATTGGTAATATTCTTAATATATAAATTGAACTGACAAACTCAGTAGTCATTAGGACACAATTAGGATAGGATCCCAAATTTCTCCTAATACTGAGCTTTCAGTTAATTTATAAAGTTAATCTTAAGGATCTTCACTGGTTCGGTGAAGAAGCTTTAAATGCCATTTCTAAAGGAAGGTGTATCAAGAACAAAGTATATATAAACCTGTTTTTAACATAGTTATTGGGCCAAATATAGGTAAATACCACTTTTTAATTGATTTTATGATCTTCAGTCTGGACCTCCATCTTATGTCTTGAAATACTCAAGTATTTAAAAGCATATAAGTATGTCATCAAGTAACATAATGGAAAAATTGAAAATTAAGCTTTAAAGCCCTACCCAAACTGCTGACCTCTCAAACTGCATATTGTTACTTAATGTAAACTTTTGCATTAAATCTTTTTTAAAAAACTCATATAAAATGGTTGGTCAGAGAAGCTGATGCACATACTACAAAACACTCTAGTTCATGAACCTAAGTGAATACTCATTGGTACATAAAAAGATGACTCTCTTTAGTTGTTAAGCATTATTTTTAATATGACAACTTTTTAAAGTGCTGCTCCAAAAGAACAGTTTGAATTGCTCAATAAAATCATTGTTCAAATTTACCTGTTTGAGTCCTTCATCAGTAAGTTTGTCCTGGTTGCCTACATGTACTTTCTGAAGTAAAGGGCAGTGAGAGGCAACCGCAATAATAGAGGTGTCAGAAAGCTGTTTACACCTGTAGGCTGTATACCTAAGTAGTCCAGGACACTTAAATGCTAGAACACATACGCCAGTATCAGACATACTGCGACAATCAGAAATGTTGATTTCTATTATATTCTGACTTCTTGATGCAATTTTTTCCAATAATTCATCAGTGACCTATGAGAAAAAAAAGGCAATAAATTTAAACTGTTGCTAAATGTAGAAAATCACATTTTAAATTAAATTTCCCCCTATAATATTCATTAGATAATAGCATGAAAACATAATGAAAAGAAAAACCTTAATATTAAAGCATAACAAGAATTGTGGTATGGTTAAAAATACATATATTTGCTCTTTGTCCTCCAGTTTCTGACAGAGCTTCTAAAACCCTTGGAATTCCTGTCTTTTGTTATTTACAATAAATCCTTGGACCACACCTGAGTTGGTAGGAATTAGCTGACTCAGAGGCTGCCCCTAAATACTGCTTCCGGACTGGGTTGGCTACCTTAAGGATTAATCAGGTGATTAAAGGGTGCTGTCCTCCAGGTAGGGCTGGAAATTAGGTTATAAAAACTCAACAAGGATACTCAAAGGGCCTCTGGTAAATACATCCATGTGACAGCAGGGTGCCATATCCCCTACCTTGCCCAATGACACTTTTCCATTTGGCTGGTCCTGAGTTGTATCCATTACAATAATCCAGTAAATATAAGTAATTTTCTGAGTTCAATAAATATGTATAGCTACTTATAGAATCTGAGGTCCTCACAGGAGGAACTCCTGAATTTATAGCGCTTTGATCAGAGGTATACATGGCTTCAGAGATATGCAACTGACATTGAAAGTGGGAGCATTCTGGTAAGACCCTTAACTTGTGAGGAAGGTGCTAACCTTGGCACACAGGGCCAGAAAGGAACTGAATTGGACACCCAGGTGACGTAGAACTGGTTGTTAGTGTAAAAGAAACTACACATTTGGAGTCAAAAGCAGTGTGAGAAAATACCAAGGAAAAATATATGTATTAATTTTCATTAAAAGCCTAAAAATGTATCCTTTTGGGGAAACAACACTTTAAATGTTCAAGCTTATCAAAAATTTACCACAAACAAAACTGTATTGAGATTTTAAATGTATTGTTCTCTCCTTTTAACCCAGTAAGTAATGTATATCAGTCATGATGTATGAATACTTTTTATACATATCAGATAATACTATTTATCATACATAAATTTCAATTGTTTTACTACTATCAGAATACTAACACATGTAATTCATAGCCTAGAAAATATACTATTTTGAATTTCAAAACACCAAAAACTCTACAGAAATGTCCATGTCAAAAAAATGTATTCAGAACATAAGTAACCTTAAAATTCACCTGGTAAAATATTCACACAGACATCTGAATTTTTTAAAGTCATTCTCTACATATTCCCTGACCAATCATCGCACTTCAAAGGGAAACAGAGTTAATGTTATTCAAATCCTTGAGGTAAAAATAATAAAGAAGAAAAATTCACACGAAATTTAAAATGGAAAAAGAAAAACAAAATGGAAAGTTGAGCAATAGTAGGAATAACAGCCAAAAATGAAACTGTTTGCTTATGCTTGCTGGAAACAGCATCAATGAAACAGCACCCTAAAAGATTAATAGAAGTCTGATATACCTCTCCTTTCGTTTTTTAATTTTTTCATCTCCAGACCTTACTATCAGCAGAGGACAGCTATTCTTAGTGTGATTTCTTATTAAATAGTTTAGATATCTAAGAGTCATGAAGTAAAAGGACCAATGGGTTACTTCACATGTTTTTCACTCTATTAGCCACAACTAGCTTCTCATTCTCTCTGGACACACATTTAATGAACTCAAGCAAGAACTAATTCTGTACCCTTACCAACAAGATAGGAAACAAAAATTGAACAACATATATAAGTGCTCGGGAGCACATCTGTTCAAAATGTGGCCATCACAAACTATCAATGGTGTATTAGAGCTGACTTATATTAACTCATAAGAGCCTACAATGTGTACTTCTCTCCAAATCTAAATTCAATGGCATCATATGTATAGACTGAAATTAGTTACAGTAAAATTATTTATACAATAGAAATTGGCAAATATTAAAAATCAGAACCTTCTTTTGGAAGCTGGTTGTTAAATATCTACCAGCATACCACAGTAATATTCCAAAGAGGAATTTAGAGCAGGTTTATCAGTCCAATAAAATCCTATTCTTACTGGATATTTTTATGTATTCCTAATGCCAAATATTATCAAGTTTTAAAGTATAAATCCAAAAAGTTCCAACAAACTGTTTGCAATAAGCACTATAAGTTCCAGAGGTCTATCAACATGAAGAAAGAAAATGTGGTATAAATACACAATGTAATATTTGGCCATAAAGAATGAAACCACGTCATTTGAGGAAAAAAAAAAAAAAGGATGACATTTGAAACCATGGTAAGTAAAACAACTCAGACACAAAAAGTTAAATATTGCACATTTTCTTATAAGAGAAACCTAAAATATAAAGAAATAAAAGGGAAAGATCAAGGAGAGATAGTATGAAACAAAAAGGCAGATGTTTTTGAGAACTGAAAGGGGATGGAGGACGAACACAAAGAGAGGCAAAGGAATTAGAAATTATCAAGATGTGTTATATACATGTACCAATTCCCTGGAACAAACATAATTATCATGTGCCAAAACATACACTAATAAAAAAAACACTATAACTTCCATATTTTTCCATATTTATGTAGCCATATCAATATATCGAACAGCTGTGTAATAAGAATGGGAAAATCTGCAAAAGGAAAGCTTAAGAAGAGCATATTTTAATAACTTTTATTTCTTCATCCTTGAAACACTGAAATAGTATCTCTTCATGGCACTGCTCAGAGCATCAAACGAATTACTATGCATAATGCCCTCAGAGCAATACATGACACAAAGGCAGTGCTACATAAAAGGCTGGCATCATTTTCTACTATTAAACTAATACAACCTCCCCCTAAAAAAGGAAATGTTTACTAATTTTCAAAAGTTAATGAAAAAAGGGGGAAGACATAAGGAATAAGAAATATTAAAAAGCAATCCAAAATTATCAATCTATGCTTAAAATTATCTTGTTCACTAAGCCAACCTAGCCTTAACTTGAATTTCTGAAAAAATTGTTAAGAAAACACAAAATTGTACATTAGTATTTGAACTACCTTGAATAACAACATGGAAGAGATTTTTGAAGGGGAATGAGATTGAGTATTTCCATACCTGTTGTCGACTACTAAGATCCAACTGCTTCCAAAACTGGAAATCTAAACAAAGGTCACGCCAGTACTTGCAAACCAATGATGCAGAAAGGCAACGTTCATCCAGGGATAAATTGGAAAATATCTGTAAATAAAGGAACCACATATGTGCTAAACATTTCCAAGGCACAGGAAAAGGCTTTTTATTAGTTAGAAAAATTAATTGTTTAAAACAGAAAATCATCTTGAATACAAGTGGCCATGGAAAAGTCACTATTAAAGAGGTAAGAACAGGAGCTAAGAACATGGACAGAGGAGAAAACAAAGGGATACTAGCATGTATGTATGTGTCTGTGTATTTGCTTGTATTAAAAAAAAAAAAAAAAAAAAGACTGGAAGGATAAGCCAAAAACTAATAAAGACTGCTTATCTTTAGGGAAAGGGAGAAAAGACTAGGAAAAAGACTGGGGTGAAAGTGAGATTAAAGTTTTCTAATTTGACCTTGAAATTATATGAACTTTTTATATGTGATTTAAGAAGAAACAAAACAAATTATAAGAAAAGCACTTTACCTCTATGGTATCTTTTTCCAGAAAGCCACAACCCCAATCTAATTCTGAGAAAACCATATGCAACAAATGTGGGGCACTCTACAAAATATCTGATCAAGATTCCTCAAAATATTCAGTTATGAAAAACAAGAAAAGGCTGAAGAGCTACCATAGTCCAGAGGAGATTAAGGCAAAATGACAACTAATGCAATCCTGAATCAGATCCTGGGAGAGAAAAGGACATTAAAGGAAAAACTGGTAAAATCCAAATAAAATTGGAGTTGAATTAACAATAATACACCAATGTTCACTTCATAGTTCTGGCAAATGTACCACAGTAAAGTAAGATAATAAAATTCAGGAAAGCAAATTGGGTGAAGAGTACAGTAATACCTGGGTTATTTAACTGAACTCATTCCAAATTCCTGTTCAAACACTGAAAAGTTCAAGAACTGAACATATTTTTCCCATAAGAAATAATGGAAAACAAGTAATTGGTTCTAAGGCCCAAAAATTTACACTTATAAATTCATTTTTCCAGAATTTTAATAAATTTTGCAATGAATTCTTTTTTTAACTGTATTGTGGTTCTCATAGTTTTCCTCTTAGCTTTATTGGTAGTATCACTTTTTGTAAACACGGTTACACTGGTGACACAAATAACGCAAAAAGAAAAGCACAAGGACGAATGTTTTAATGCAGTAACACAAGCACTACATGTTGTCTGGGTGAGAGCTGCTTATACTGAAGCATCACCCCTTTGTGTCCCAGGTGAGAAGTGACACGTGACTCACTCTTGGGCTCTACAGGTTTTTTCAAGTTGGATTTTCAGTTGACTATGGAGCAAAGTTAGGAATACTGAGCAGATTTTTTTCAAACATAGCTGTTTAAGTAGTGGAAATTTCGAGCTTGGAGCCATTGGACAAACAAGGTATCACTGTATGGGTAACTCTATAGTATCTTTGCACTTTACCTAACAGGACCATTGTGAAAGTTAAAAGTGTAAAGTTTGTGAACAGTGTCTGAAACTGAGTAGGAGTAAGTAGGACATAAACAATTTCTATCATAACTATGAGCTGAAATTACTTAACTTTGTATAATTAGAAGATGTAGATATCTAGTCTAGAATATCTATTATGTTTAAATCTTGAGTCTTGGGAAAACAATTGCCTACCCTTCCTAAACACTGGTTTTTCTCCCAAAGGGTCCAGTGAGAAGTGAAGAATATACATAGAAATCACCTAATGAATGTACCTCCAATACCAGCAAACATGCAGTAAGCCTATTACAGCCTTTCATTTGCACTTCTTACAAATGAAATCTCTGGACAACATACTAAAAGCAATTACCTCAGAACTCTAAAAAAGTTAATAATGGATGGACTACAGAGCAGAGCAAAAATCTGAAGAATGACAAAAAAAACAGGAATGAGTGTTCTCGGTTTGGAGGTGTCTGTTCATTTGTCTGTTTTTTCTTTTATCTCCTAGTTTGGAATTGAAGGTAGTCCCTGGTAGAACTGTACAGAAGGCACAACAGGCAAAATTCAGAGAAAAGGCCACCTTTCTGGACAGAGGACTAGGAAAATGCACTTCTGCAAGACACAAAATATGAGAAGAGTCTTCACTTTTTGTTTTCTTCCCTCTCCCTTTTTTCTTCCTAGCTTTCATATCCTAAATGCTGCCTCAGTAGCAGAACTACAATGTGGCAGCTGTGAGGGAACCTTAACTCCCAAAAGTAAACCCATACTTCTGGCCAAAAGAACGAGGAAAGGGAACTCTGTGTTCCAAAGAATGTGCAAGGACTCATTAGTTTTCTGACCCCTTCACCAAGAAAGCAGCCCAAGTCACAGAAAACTACATAGCAACCAAGGTAGCTGTGTATCCCTGACAGAAATTCCATCTTTCTAGCCAAAAAATAAAATAAAATTTTACTGGCATACAGCCCTGAACACCCCTTTTTTGCATGGCTGTGTGCCAATAAAACTTTATTTACAAAGACTGGCAGCATATTTGGTTTGCCTAGGTCTATGGTTTGAGACCTCTGCTTTATAATATATGCACTAGAAGTTATAAATTCTTTCTAATCAACACTTTAGCTGCATCTCATTAATGTTGACATGTACTGTTCAGTTTAAAATATTTTCTAACTTCTTGTGATGTCTTCCTTGATAAACAGAATATTAGAAGTATTAGATGACATCAGCAAAAATGACAGAAGAGGGAATTTCAAAAGTCTGTTCATTCACAAAAACAGCTTAAATTGACAAAAAGTGTCATGATCAACTATATTAAAGCTTTAGAACTAAGAACAGGTTTACAGAAACCAAGAAAATATTTAATCAAGAAAAAGGCAACTGAGTTTCAACACAAAGAAATCTACCAAATCACTACTGAATTATCAAAACTAAACAAAGACTTCAGTGACTACATACAAGGACCAGATGTTACAAAATTAGTTCAGAGAAGTCACTAGCAAACAGCAGAAACCAAGAGAAACAATAATAAATCCTAGGGAGGGGAAAGAATATAATTTCCAGAATTGCTGCATTGTGATATTCACAGTAACCAATTTAAAGCATACATAAAAGATAAATAAAATATATGTAATAAAATTATTTATATGTATATGTTTATATGACATGTATGCAAAGAACAAAAAACCATGACCTGTTACAAGAATAAAATAATTTAATAGAAATTCCCTATGAGGAAGCTCAGATATTGGACTTACTTGACATAGAAAATAAAGCAACAATTAAGTTATACTCAAAGAGATAAAGGAAATCATGTACAAAAAACTAAAGAAGGACTGGGAGTGAGGCTCAATGGTAAAGTGCTTGCCTGGTATGCACGGGTTCAATCCCCGGTACCACAAGGAAAAAAGAAAAAAAAAACAGAAAAGAAAATCATGAGAACCAAACAGAGATGTAGAGATGGCTCATTAAATAGAAAATATGGATAAAAAGTATAAATTGTGGAAACAAACCAAATAAAAATTCTGAAACTGAATCACACAATAACTAAATTCATAATAGGGATTCAATACAAGATTAGAGCAAGCAGAAGTCTTAAGTAAGCTAAGACGGTCTACATATACTGGCATGCCCCACTACATCTGATGAATTAGACAATTTTTTTATACAGTACTAGGGATTGAACCCAGTACTGTACTACACTGTGCTACATGCCCAGGCCTTTTGATTTTTTCAGACAGGGTCTTGCTAAGTTACAGAATCAGGCTGGAACTTGTGATCCTACTGCATCAGCCTCCCAATTGAGATCATCAAATTGGGGAAGGGGGACTTCCTGGCCTAGCCAATTTTTAAATCTGCCTACATGGACACTTACTTCCTGCTAGACACTCACAGCCCCCCACCATCCCCCCACCCTCATATATAAATGTGCATAGCTTTTACAATAAACCAGGATGAGTGGAAAGATTATCCCTTACTGTTCTCATTTCCACAGTCTGCCTACTTGATTTATGGCTAGTGCCTCACTCTTCCCATTACTGCCAAAATCTCAGACTAGCAAATACGTGGTTTGGCTTTGTATATTTCCTACCATGTTCACCACTTTCAGTTGATTTTTATTCACTGTCGAAAATTGAGAGTCCTTTGGCAGCAAAGCTGGCTTTCCAAACTATAGTTCTTGCCACAAGTGCTGGCACAGAAGGTTACAGTAGAGGCCCCATTCAAAAATGCCATGGAGTTCCACTACAGTATTCTTACCTGAAGCTCTAAAAGTTTTCCTAAGAATAAATGCTTTCCAATTTTTTGTCTACCTTTGGTTAATTTCTAAAATCATTTCCAGCAATGTTGCCAGTTTATACTGGCTTTCTGTGGAAAGGATAATCTAAATTCTTCATGGAGCCATTGCTCTAAATCCCTCTTATGGATATTTTTATACTCATTCTCATTTTATATGAGAAAATAAGGCTTTGGGAGACTAGATCATTTGTTTAAAGAACTATATAGTCTTCAAGGACTAATTTATCCCTTAGCAAATAATATGCAAAGCATCCTCATTGTAACTGAGGGGCACCTTGTTTGGTTAGTCCTTTTTCTGCACGTCTTCTGGAAACATTTTCTCTTTTGTAAAAGTAAGATGACTATTACAATACACACATCATTGATTAAATTCATATGGATCTAGACAAGTTTCATTCAATGAAGAGAAAAGGAATTCAATAAGGTGATAAGTATAAAATAGGATATATGGCCAAAGATTACACCACTTTTTTAGAACCTATTATGCTAATGTGAAATGCTTTCATATTTGCCTTCACTTACCCTCCCTTCCTTTCCCTATCATGTATATAACCAGGTATCCCAAGTTCACAAAGCAAGGCTTAAGGTTACCTTTTGACAACTACTCATTATAAGGAGGCAAAAATGACAAAATTCTTAAATGTGAAGTAAACAGATGAGATCAAGCATGGTCAGATCAACACATAAATAGACAAAGAAAATGTGGCATATATGCATAATGGATACTATTCAGCCACAAGGAAGAACAAAATTTTGTCATTTGCAGGAAAATAAATGGATCTGGAAACCATCATGTTGAGTGAAATAAGCCAGACTCAGATAAAT